TTGGGAAGGACAGTGAGAAACAAACGATAATCTGAAAGGCCATTTATATATGTTGAACTCTAATGCTTTGACAGCTTTCGGCGTTTGATCAGTCAGAAAAAGAGCTTTCATTAATGTTAAGATTACTACCCTGTGAATTCTCAAAGCTGAGATATAAGCAATTATCTCATACCGCAGCAACCGAAGTTGAGAAACAGTCATTGGTTTAAATCTCTACTCACACATTTGCATTCAAATTAAAATGTCAAATTAGTGCTATTTTGTTCAAACGGATTATGACTTCTCTTCTAGGAGGCTTTGATTTCCGTATTGTGTTCAGAAAATATTTAGTACATTCACAAACACTAATATTTTTGTTTGTAGATTAAAATCATATTCTAGGTATAAAATAAAACTTTTATTGAAGTATATTGTTTTTGAAGAGTGGAAGAATGACTACAAGCTTTTTCTTTTCTATATTTTTAAAAATTGAATGGTCCAATCTTGCCCTCCATGTGGGGCCATCTTACAGTTAAATGTGTGAAACAAAATACAATAAAATTTCTATAAACATAACAGAATCTTTCTTCTTTATTGTATCTAAACTGTCCAGTCAAAATGTTTTGGAGATTTTTTTTTATGTCGTATGGTACAAAGATGGGATGGCCTTTTGTTCTTTTTCTAAACACTTGCTTTGTCACAGGGGAAACTCTTAATTCAAGTAGTAGGTCAAGGAAATATTTTTTTAGTTTCAGAATTTTTGTGCTAGGCTACATAAAGCAATATTTCTGCATAGCTATCACAAGTTTTTAACATAAAGGCTTGGGGAAGGCAACCAGACAACATCACTAGTTGCTGATTCTTGTTTGCTCAAATAATAGGATTTGACTGTCATTCTTATAGTGCATCCACTGCACCTTAGTTAAGAGTGCATTTTTCAATAAATAGACCATTAACAATGAATTCTCAGGCTCATAATCTGAGTATGCTTACCATTAACTAATGCCTGGGCCTCTACTTTTTGAATTTAATAGCTGAAAATATTTCATTTACTCAAAAACAAATTCATTGTGTGTAACAGAATGTTATATTATTTATGAGAATTGCATACTAGACTTAAAGCATGATTAAAACAGTAATCACACATGAAAACACAAGCTGTAAACTTAAAATTTTATTGAATACTATATTTCTTTATTTCACAAATTATAGGTGTCTGTTCATTTAAAGTTAACATTTTTCTGCCCCGAAAATGCATTTCCAAGAGATACTCACCTACTCACGTACATTAGCTATTTTACTGGCATGTCTACTAAGACATTTCATTACCACTAGCTATGAAGCAATTCCCACATAATTTCATGTGATTTTACATGAATTGCACCACTGCATGATGACATCATGCAATAAAAACTCTGCATTAGTAGGAGGGTGACACATCTCCATGAACACTAACTCACCCTATGCATGTGCACTCGTGATCCTTCATACTTTGATGAGGCAAGTAAGAAAATGTGTACCAGAAAATGTTAACTTCTGAGACAATAACTCAACACCACATATAGATTAGCTACAAACTCACATTGATATGGTTGAGGGACTGGTGCAGAATTCATCTAGAAGAGCACCCTTCAGAATGTGTCTGTAGGTTGTCAATGGGGTGTGACACCCGATGGTAGGGGCTTCACAGAGGAACACCTGTAAGAGACAGCATCTTATCTTGGCCAGGATATTCTCTTTAACTGTATAAGAAAGTGGAAGGGGCATGGAAGTTACATTTTTGCCACAGAGATGGGCAGAATTAGAACATGACCATCCACATAGTTGCACACAAGGTGTTAGACAGCCAATATGTGTAGTGTAGTTAGGGTGCATTCAGACCGTCCCTTATGTGCTCATCTCAACTCTATCATCAGACTCTAAGGGACTAACATCAACTGTGGAAGGAATAGCTTTGTATAGTGCTCACCTCAACACTACCATCAGATTCTATGGGACATAACTAGCTGCAGGAGACTGGTATAAAGTAAGAAGACATGTGAGATAGATATATTGTATAGTAAATGCTCAACTAAACTGAACCAGTAATATGGAATATATAGGTAAAGGAAGCGGAAGACAAAGTAGTGTAGTCAAAAAGGAAGTGGTGTCAGAGAGACCTACAATAATAAAACAGTCACTTGCATTGGTAAACAGATGAGGTGGAAAGGCAACAAAAATGGGACAGAAGGAAAGCTACACAACCCAAGAACCTAGCACAAAAAGCAATGGATTGGACAAATCCCATATGTGAAGGTGTAGGATGTGGGGACAGGGAGGGGGTTTGGTTGAGAGTCAAAGAAGTAGTAGAAACCAATGTTGAGCTGGCCAATGAGTTATCACTAGAATGAGCCAGCAAGGGGTGTCTCAAATCAAAACAAAAAAGAAGGGAGGAAGTGACAAGAACAGGCACACAGAGATGATACCAGTCCTGATTGATGGATGAGGAAAAGGAGACCAAAGAGAGGAAGTTCGGTATTGAGTGGGGTAGCAAAGGTTTGATATGAGGTGTTCCAGGTTGGAAGCAAACCCAACAGAAAATTTGAGAATGGAGAGATTGTTCCATGGACAAAAAAAAAAATAAATAAAATAAAATAAATAAAAACCTTAAGTGAAGATGTGAAGATCCAGAGGTAGTACTGGAACAGTCCAGCTATCAAGTCAGTTCTCTGAGAAGAGGAGGAAGGAGGTGGATAAGGATAATCAAAGACAAGGGATCCTGGGAAAAAGTTCCACTGATCATGCAACGTTTACTGGAGTAGATGCATATGGGTGTAAACACAAGAAACGAGTGGTTCCAGAGAAGCCACATTCCCCAAAAGAGAAAGAACCTCTCATGTTGAATGATGAGAGACTTCATTCTTGATGACTAAACATTTGAGATTTCACAGGTGAAGGGGAGAAGGTTTGGCACATCTGAGACAAGAGTTGAATAGAGTTCCTAAGAGTACGAGGTATTGGGTAGGAATGAGGAAGGATTTGGAGATCTTGATGAGCCATCTTTAATGAGTAGCCTCGTGAAGAAGGAAAGTGCATTGGGAGGAGCCTGCCTGTGAATAAGCTACAAGGAGTCAACTGTTTATGTAAAAATGGAACTGCAGACCCAGTCCATGAAGATGTCAAGCAAAGGCCCTCATAATGTGATGAAAAATATCAGGGGCAAATGCTATGCTGAATGGAAGAGCCTGGAACTTGAATATGTAATTCTGTGGACAAAGCAAAGAAATTGACTGGAGGATGGGCAATCAGAATGTGAAAGGATGTGTCTGAAACATTGACCTTCGTCATTCATAGGCTGGTGAAAATGACCAACAGAGAAAAAAGAAATTCTCCATCAGAAAGTGTGGGACAACCAAATAACAAATGAGTGAAGAATGGTCAATTACTGGTTGCAAGTCCAGGGTTTTCTTGAGGACCATAAATAGATGGGAATAAAACCCAGAGAAGGTTCTTGGACCCTCTTGATGGCATGTTTCTCCAAGAGAATGAGACGTTGAATTGGTTTGGTTTGAATTTTGCGCAAAGCTACACGAGGGCTATCTGCACTAGCTATCCTTAATTTAGCAGTTTAAGACTAGAAGGAAGGCAGTTAGTCATCACCACCCACTGTCAACTCTTGGGCTACTCTTTTACCAACGAATAGTGGAATTGACCATCCCATCACATTATAATGCGAGCATGTTTGGTGTGATGGGGATTCGAACTACCTGGTCATGCCAGGCCGAACAGGTTCGAAGGAAGGATGAAATGATACTGATTTTGACTGAAAAGGGGGAAGAGGAGAGTAGAAATGGTCTGTGGGTAAGTATCGAAGAACCCATCTGTTGGCAGAAAACTGTGTCTAAAGACAAGCAAAGATGGGCCCCAATGAGTTCCAAGCTGACTGGCAGGTCATCATTGATTAGGGTAGCAAGTCTGACATAAGGTAGAAGTGAGATGATTCGAAAAGGAAAGTTGCAACTCTGGAACAAAAAGGCAAGGTATAAATGGCTCAGGAAAAGAAATAGAAGTAGGATGAGGTTGGGATAAGCGAAAAATCAAAGAAGTCAGAGAGGATTAGTGGTGAGTGGATTCAGCCCATAACTCCAATGAATCAAGATCAACACCAAAAACCTCTATATGAAGAAAGGGGCAAAGCAAAGGTCATGGAAAAAAGTGGTAGTGAGAAGTAATTCAGAGAGAAGAATATCCCTATCCTACCAGTCCCAACAACAGCCGAACAATGTCAGTGGGGGGAAGGAGCACAAGAAAAAAATGGGCCATAGTGGTAAAAAGGAGGGTGGTGAGAAAAATGGGCACTGAAGAGTGAAACTGAAATTAAAAAGTATGCACTTCAAACTGTTTAAAGTGATTCTAAGGACTTGGAATCAAGAAATAGAAAAGTGGAATGGCTATATGCTGAAACATAAAAGTCAGTTAAATGAGCAAGGCAAGGCATAAGACTTTGGGTACAAAGTTGGTCAAGAAAGGAATTGGCATGTAGTGCTATGTTAGGAGAGGGAGGAAATACTAAATAATTGTGACAATTAGGGTTATGGAGTAGGGAACATGAAAAAATCATAAGACACTGGAAACAGAGAAAGAACACTACCTGAGAAATAAAGTCTTGGAAATTTGTGGAAGCTTGAAAGTTTTCCTCAACAGGCAATGTGGTTCCTAAAGCAAACCTAGGAGAGTAAAAACGGCAATAAAATTTGCCCTCTTCAGTCTCAGGTTCGAAGTGATGGGAAGGTACACCAGTAGAAGGGATGGTAGCTGAAGGTCCATGCAACATGATAGATCCCACAACTTATTGAACTATGATTGCCATGTTTTTCACATTTAACAAACTTCCAGAAGCCACAGTTGTAGTATGTTCTATGTGAGGAACATTTCCACTCACATAAGAACTAGTGCAAGTCGCATTGAATTGTAAATTCGTAATGAATACAGTGAAACACAAGTTTCAGATACCACACAAATTGAAACATGTCTGTGTTCTATAGTGTCAAGGAAAATAATGAAGATTCACAGTGCAAATGTATCGGGGGAGTTGGTATACAGGGAGACATATTGCCTTCTAATTACTGGTGGGCTATATTGCATGACGATGTCATCATGCAGTGCCACAATTCACATGAAATTAGGTGGGAGTTATCTCAAGGATAGTGGTATGCATATCTCTTTAGTAGATGTGTGAAGAAGATAGCTGATGTGTGTGAGGAGGAGAGTTATTGTCTCAGAAGACAGTGTTTTTTAACATCTTACACACATGTAAGCGTGGTTCATAACAGCTTATACGAGTTCGTTTACAAAAGGATGATACTGTTTGAGAGTCACAAGTACATGACACATTTCTTACATCAAATAATGATGGTAAAACACAACCACATAATCATTTTGTACACTCAATAATTCATTTAGGTATATCTAAGTATCCTGATATGTCCTCCAAACCATTCAGTTTTTAATTTATATAATGTTTTGAGAAGCTCTCAATCATATACTACTTCAAATCATTTACATTTCAAAACTTAAAACTCTCTAGGATGTTTTACTCACACACATACACATCATGACTCCATAATGTCCAGACAAGTTTTGTAAAATCTCATCGTTAGACAAATGTATGTGAAATTAGCCAGGAGTAAACAGCATAACATAATGTTGCTAATATTAAATTATATGTAAATAGAAATTTTTAAATTAGTTTTTTTACCTTTTATATAACTTTAGTCAGGCTTAACAGTAACATTTATTAAAAAATATTGCAAAGATTTAATATATATCTATTACCAGTGCTTAGATTTTAGATTACACAATAGACTTTAGAAATAAAGATTTTCATAGTTTAAAAGTAACATAAAAAGTTAATAACTAGGGCCAGTGTTTTCTGGAAAAACAAATTACCACAACTTTAACTTTCAGAAATTCTGAATATAAGCCTACCTGATATTAGTAAATCTAACTATTGAAAACAATATTAATATATAAAACCATTACTGTTAAGTGTATTTTCATTTTGCTATGCAGCCACTGTTAATCATTGCTTCACTGGCACTTTTTTAGTCTTCTAGAGCATTTAAATGAAATGGTCTTATAATGTGATAAACAGACAGAACAGAATAAATTACCTCCAACTACAGGGACACATCTTTTTTGAAAATTCTTTAACATAAGCTTATAATAGTATCTTCATAAAAATGGAGAAACTAAACAAATTTCAACACATGCATAGTTGCACTTGCACAAATGGACACAGAGAAAACTTAATCTTAGTTTCATAATAATTTATGTTGCTCTATTTTTTTAAAATTGAAGTTTAAAAAATTCACGACATTTAAGAAACTCCCATTAAAATCAAACATTTATCTCAGAAATTTAGGATAATTTTTTAGAAAGCTGTGTTAATTTTGGAAATTTCTGGTAAACAATGGCCCAATTAACCACACAATATAAGAATGACTTAAATATGTAAATGCAGTGGTCTTTTCTGCAGATGCAAGCCACGGTGACAAGTGCAATGTGCTTAGCACGTTTACATTTGGTTCACAACAGAATCAGACCATTCATTAATGCAACACTGTGACAGGTGCATACAGCTGGATACATTTCACAACCCTTTCCGTGGAAGAGTGTTCATAAAGCAAGAATGTTAAACAACACTTTAAAGATAGGAGTCTTCAATGTCCTTCATGAAAGCAGAAAACCTTGCAGAGTATCTAAGGAAGCAAAAGGCTTTGAAAACAAACACCAACTCAATGTGAAGTAATGCTCTTATTCATAAAGCAATTGCTGTGGATGGGAAAAAGATTCTTCCGATTAATAAAAACTACTGCAAGAAAGCTACACATATCTTTCAGTACAAAATACAAGAATTTGAAGATGATAAAACCTTACGAGTCAAGAAGTTCACAAGGTTCCATTCACATCTTGAAATCAAAAGCTGTTTTATGAGAAAAACAGCCAAAGAAACTGATCACATACCTGTAAAATCTTCCCAGTGCAGTGTTGATGGATGTTTGTGCCTTTCATCTGTCTTAGGAGTAATTTCAGTGTACAGTGAAGGGCCTGTGTAAACTCATCAGGAAAATAACATTTTTTGCAGAAATCTGGAAATTATGGTGACAGGATATATTGCATAATCACAAATAAGACCCATTATGATCAACAATGGAGGTAGTACTTTCAAAGCCTGCATAAGGCATGGAACATCATTTTTTATAAAATGCAATTAGCCCTCAATAAATGACAGTAAAATATTGTTACAGCCAAGAACATCTATACATAATTTTAATCATAAATATATGTTGAATTTGCTTTTTCTCTGGATTCATTTGTGAGTAGGAAATTTACAATGAACAAGCAATGTAAAATGTTTGGACAAGACTTTTAGGAATCTTAACTATTACAATGAGGTGTATCAGCCTTTCTGTTACCTTTTTCTTTCCTTTGTAATTATAGTTTAGTTTACTGTAATATAATTTTACACTTTTACAAATGGAAACTTCTGTTAAATTAAAAAGGCTTATTTTCAATTAAATTTTCACAAGGACTTTTTGTTTATTTCTATCACTTTCTGCATATAAAACTGAGAGTTTAATGTGGTACTGAAAAACGAAAATAAGTTTAAAGGTTTATGCACACTGTCAGTTTTTAAACTTATTAGAAAGGTCTTTTTATTAAGAAAAAACATTTAGTTATTTCTCTTCCTTAAATTGAGTGAAGATAATAACAAACAATAAAATTATCTTTTGTTAAATGTTTTGATAATGTTCCAAGTGTTTGAATTTCAGTATCATTTAAAATAACTTTAACAGTAATTTTTAATACTTTAAGGATAGTTATACACAATCCATTTTATATCTGTTTCTATAAAGTATACAACCTTAAAATTTCAATCAACTTGAGAATTATTAGAAAGACAATGAAATAGTTCCATGTCCATCATACAGAACTAACAATACAAAATTAAATTCACCGGAAACTTTCACAAATTGTTTCACCTAACACCTTAAACTATGATTAGGTAAGTTTGAATAACAAAATACATGCATCTTGAAGGATGATAAATACAAAAGATACAACTGTATCAAAAGTGAGACAATTTTTGGAAATCTCTTCTGAGTTTCAACTCAAAAATAAAACCGAGAAAATGTATACAATAAAGCTCAATAACATGTAGTTTGATTATAAAAGTGCAGAAACAATTCTAGAAGCTTTTTCTTATATTCAAACTACCAAGTTTTATGTTAATCTATTTCTTATGTAGAAGAAACCGAGAGACATTTTCATAAACAACAAAAGTAATAGCAGTTGCAGGCGTAACTCTCAATAAGCTTGGTAGAAGTCCCTTGTAAAAACCTCGAGTTCCTTCAAATCTGGAAAATATAATACAAATTAGTAAAATATATGATTCAGAAACAAACTATTTCAGATACTCTTATACAAAGGGCAGAGCCAAACTTTTAATAACATTTATCTTACCTTATTTCAGTCAAAATACTCTTTCTTTTGTGTTTGAGAGCTTAGCACATGACTTATGATGAAATAAGAACATCACCTCATGATTGCACATGGCATTGTCTTAATCTTTACTGTATTTTTGTTTTGTGCTAAGAGCAATTATTTTCAAGCTATATTATTGATTTCATTGTTCCATGTAATGCCCAAAGTCACAAATAGATATCTAGATTGTAAATGGATTTTGTCTTTATTCTAAGGAAGAAAAAGTGACTTAACAATACAACTTAAATATAAAGATATATGTATGATTTCAAATAAAACAATTTGTATTTGTATTGGAATGTTGCATTTATGGTAAAGCTACTAAGGCTATCTGCCACTGTCTCTAATTTTAAATTACTGACCAGATATAAGCCAGCCAGTCAGCTGCACCCTCCATCCACACTAAGGGAGTGATTGTCACTCTTATAAATGCGGGGAATACTTTTATGATATGATGTGGATGCAAACCGAGCTTGCCATCCCCAAAATTTATAGTTCTACCACAGGCTGAATCTGCATCCTTCAAACAAAATGAAATGCACTGATGATGAAAGTAAGGCAGGAAGTTAAAGGAGCAATATCCAAGTAGAAGATTGAGATAAAATTTAATGTGAACTTCTCAAAATTCCTGCTATGGAAAGATTTCATACAACTTTACAGTATGATAAAAAATATAAAATTGACTAAGCATAGCAAGCTTAATGCAGCCACAATTAGCCTTAAACTGAGCTACAGTATTTCCTATATGTAATTACATGATGTTAGTAAAACATTCAAAAAATTCAATTTAACACAAAAATATAAAACCCTATAACCCAAGTACTTTTGAAAGATGGACCTTTCTTCATCAGGGATAATCTGATGAAGAAAGCCCCACCTGTTGAAAGAGCTCATGTTCTAGGGTTTTGCATTTTTGTGTCCCTCATGTAAATCAAAGAATAACCTGAAAAATTTTTACAAGTCTACTGTTAGATGAGATAACAGAAATACTGTTAAATACAAACAATAATAATCCACAAATATATTTTTGAAAAATCTCAAATTTTGAATATCTACCATTAAAAACCAAGTTCTAAAATCTATTCCTTGAAAACTTAATATTCAATATGCATACATATAGAAAGATATACCAATATGATTATAATCCTGCAAAGTGTGTTTGAAAAAAATATATAAATGTTCAAATTGTTTTCTTTAAATGTAAATATGTTTCCAAATAATTCCATGTTTATAAATATCAATATTACTTAAATATACAGTAATAAACATTTTATTTTCATATACCTGTACTTTTTTCTATGTAGTTTATACAATACAAAGTATTTGAAAGCAAATGAAAATTTTTTAAAAATATATATTCTTGCTGGCATACAATTTATCTGGCTAAAATGAATACCTCCACGTTTTTTTCAGTACATCAACAACACCATTGTACTCTTTATGTTGGTCCTGTAATCGTGCTCGTATTACTTGGTATGGATAGGTTGTTGAGGCAGCAAATAACTTGGAGGCAGCAGCAAAGGTCAGGTATTCCAGGACCCCCTTATGGAAGGATTAGACATAAGCATTAATTAAGATATTTCTGAAGACCATAAGAAAACATTTACATCAATTTTAACTATTCTAAATAAGAATGAGCAGAATATGTAGTGAAAAGCAAAGAGTAGTGCATTGAAAACAAATTGGAGAAATCTGTACCGGAGAATGAGAGCACATTTGCAGTACAAGAGCAGATAGAAAAAATTCAATACTGTATGTAAAGCCTGAAGCATTATTTTACAAACTTCAATTGAACATGTACGGGGTCAGTCCATAGAATGACCCCATATTGGAAAAGGAATATTGATTGACCATAATTCCAAATTTACTAGTGTATCTACAGGAAATGTGGCAAGCTTTTAGTAAAATGTACAAGTCCGTTGTACATGAAAAAGCATATAAGTTACAAAGGTATTTGTATTCAAGATATGTCTGTAAATTCATGACACTAGTTTGACTAAAACTCTGACAAGTTAGAGAGCAAGATGATGTTCATGTGAAGAATGAAAATACTTTAGTTCTTTCTAGTTTGCATATTGTATTTGCATAACCTCTAGAGCCTCTGAAATGCATATCTACAGTTTTTTTCAGCATCCTTGAATATTCAATCTGGTATTTAATATCATTTACCACAAACTGTCACTAAATCAACAGTATAGGGTAAAATTAATTGTTGATAACTCTAACATCAAATACGTAAAACCATGCTTCATGGCACTATATAAAAAATCATGAGTTACACACTTTGATCCCTACCTGTGCATGTAGGGTTAACAAGAGAATACTTGCTAAAGTTTAATCACACTTACAGAAATTTACAGAAGTTGCAAGAAACACAAAAAGGTTACTCAACATCATTAGGACCATGTATGTAAACAGTATCATGAAAATATGATATGAAATAATGAGATCAAACAGGTTTAATGGTATAAACCTACCACATGTATTGATTTATAACATATGCACAGATAGTACAAGAGAGAAAAAATAACTATAAAAGCACTGTTTTAAAACTATTCTGTTAAAATTTTTTGTTTGAATCAAAAAATCAAAATATTATAAATTAGTAATAAAACAAATCTAAAACTACTTAAGTTATACTAAAATGAATTCAAAGCATAAAAGTTGAAAGAGTAACAATATTTTCAGGTTTCACACTATTAACTATTTTAGCAAGATATTTAAATAACAGAAAAAGCAGCTCTACAAGAGCTAAATGTACCGAGAAGAAATACACAAGTATTGAGAAATTTTTAGCATTATTCCACTCAACAGAAGTTGTAGATGTTCCGAGAATAATTATCTAAAAAAAAATGCACTCGGTTTATTAAAATTTTCAACAGTCCTAAAACAGAACATGATAGTTCATAATTCATGAAAAATATATTCCATTCTAGCTTTTATTATGATTGATATAAAGATTACAAGCACAGACAATAATTTAAAATAGCCTTATGCCTTACCAGTTTTGCATCAGGAATGAGGTTATAGTGGTTAATATACAACTTCTTCATTTCTTCATATGCCATAAATTGTAGAGCTCCATGAGAAACCCCAAACACACCAGGAATAAAACCCTAAAAAAAATACAAAAAAATTACACATTTTTACCAAAGTTGCTATCTGAAAATAACATTATAGCCTTGTGTTTAGTTGCCTGATTTAACTAAACCTTAAAGCACTTGTTCTAACTGCTTTTCAACTGAGAACCCTAATTAAACACACTCATTCCCCTTTCTAAGTTATAATTTCATTTCCAAAACATCTTCACAAAATATTACCAGGAACAACATATAATTTCATAACAAGCAAATGCTATTATAATCTACTTCAAGGGTTAAAAAATAGTGAGAGTTAACTGTATTTCAAATTAAAACTCTGTGGCAGCTTTACCAGCTGTAAAATTTCTGAAAAACAAAACAAAAAACAACAAGTTTACTCGCTTAAAAACTGTTTAAAATGTTTTATTTATAGACATTGAGAATGTCCTAAAAGATTTGTTCAATAAAGCTTGACAACATTCCAGAAAGTTGTTAATGTGAAACTTCAGATAATTCTGGAAAGACTAAACTGTAAAGCTTATGTTTGTTTTGAATATTTGAACTAAGCTACACAAGGGCTATCTGCAATAGTTGTCTCTAGTTTTGAACTGATAGAGTAAAGAAAAGGCAGATAGCTAATTAACAGCATCCACCATTAACACTTGGGCTACTCAAATCAAGTAGTAGAGCCAGACAGTCATTTTTCTAACCACCTATAGCTCCAAAATACAGAGATCAATTTTGTGGCAATGGGACATGAACCACAGACTCTCTGTTTTATAGTCCAGCACAATAACCACTAGGTCACACCTGATCCATGAAGCTTAACCTTCTAGAAATTTGCATCATCAAGCTTGAGAACCTGCTATAAAGATTGTGCCATGAAACTTGAGAACCTTCTAGGTTTGTATTGTGAAACTTGAAATACTTCTAAAAGGTTTGTTCTGTGAAACTTGGAAAACTTCTAGAAGGTTTGTATTGTGATGTTTGAGAAACTTCAAGAAAGTTTCTTTTGGTGCTCAAGAATTTTCAAAATGGTTTATTATAGCATGAAACTTGAAAACTTTCTAGAAATTTTTATTAGGAGCCGTAATAATTTTTCAGCTTCGTACTGTGATATATGAAATACTTTTCTTTAAACAATAACAACATAATTTATGTAGAATTATACTTTTCTCTATGTTAAAATACTTTTCTTTTATTAGCGAGCTTTTAGCCCTCTTACCAGATCCTTCATCAGACAATAATGTACTGAGCAATACAAATTAATTTCTCTATTGAACATTACTTTAAAATAGGTATCTGGGCAACAATCATAACAATAACTGACATCTGGTATTAAAGTTATTAACCATATAGAAATTATGATTAATGTAGAAGATAAACCAATTACTTCAATATAATAAACATGAGGATAATACAATTATAAGTATTACATAGTAAAATAAAAAATGTTTTCATACTTCAAATAATACACTGTAGAATTAAAACTTTAATTTTATATCAAAACCATGACAAATAATATGTTTCATGTCTTTGATAAGTGGTGTCAATGCAGGATTGAGTAGTTGTTGGCCATTGTTTTGATTAATACCCACTGGTGGTCTACTGTCTTGTGCTTTTCCATTTGGTGTTTTCTTCTCTTTATTTGAAAGTATGGTGTAACAGCCCTTTTCAAATTCATTTTGTTTTAATAATTTATTATTTCTTGTACTCACAGTTTACAATATTTTAATTGTCAAATTTACCTTGTAAAAGCCTCGAAAACCCTCATAACGATAAATTTTCACTAAAGCATCTATCATCCCAGAATAACGTTTTGAAGGTGAAAGGGTCTCCAAGTTTGCATACTGAAGACACATGCGAGTTTTGACTACCCAAACTGGGTTGGTGATAGCTAAAGTAAGAATACCTGAAAAAAAAAACATGTATAATAACATTTCCTCATACTTGTATTCATAATTTAATAAGTAGCCTTTTTGAAGAGTAAAACAATAAATGTGTATGAAGTCTCATTCTTTATGAACCAAATTGTCAGAGTTTATTTCATTAGCAAGATATGTATCACCAATACATACTATCAAATTTAATAAAAGAAAACTATAACTGTTATAGTGTTTAATGTCAATATTCTGTAGTGTGATGCTATTTGGAATGTTAATTTAGCCCTAAAAAAACAATACATAGATGATTTTTTCAAGGGTTCTCTTTCACAGGAGTCTCAGCAAAACAAAGTTTTATAATAAAGTTAAAAGAAAGTTTATTTAAAATGGATGTTCTTGTATTCTGAATGAGAGGGAAGTCTGCAATAAAAATCATGAAACTTTAGAAAAACTTTTAAATAATTGTGCTTATCTACCAATCACCACATTTCCATCAGTATAGTAAAATCCTAACCCCAGGATCAAAGAGAAACTATTTTAAATGACCACCTGATTCTCAACAACAGTTTCAATTCTCTTTACTTTTTTTATTTAAAATAAAAAATTTATTTTCTAATTCTGGGTTGTAGGTTATTTGTTTTTATCTCATAGCATATTTTACTTTCTCTTTCTCAAATACATGAAGTACATGAATAGCAATTTAAAACAGCTACAAAACTTTGTATCATGTAAACAATTTTAAGAAATATAACAAAAGGAATAGTTTCTGTCCACCTGCTTCTGCTGCAGCCAACATGTGTCTACCAGGTCCGAGATTGGTTTTCGAAGTTCCTTCTAACATCCATGCTTTGATGGCATTATAGCTATGAAAGTTAAGAGAAAGTTATTGCTTAACATAGCTCAGACAGAATAATGGGAAATTATAGTTCATGGTCACAAAGCTACTTATATTGTTTATGTAACAATTAACATTTTTATTATTAATTGAAATATTAAATCCAATCGTTCAAAATCATTCCAAAATTGAATAACAAGGAATGACAAGGTGAAAGAAGGTTATTTAGCTTATTCATCCTCTTTAATTCATATCATTTATCAGAGAAAATAAATTTTCTACCAAACATTATTGTAAGTGAAAAGAAATTGTGGAACTTGAGCTTGAACCCAGGACTTTTGGCTAACAGGGCCATTACTCTACCAACTGAACTGTCCAAAAGTAAAAGTCCCCCTTTCTCTTTTCACCTATAAATAATTTTTATAGATGAAAAAGAGACAGTGAGGACTTGTACAAATCATTTTTACTGTGAGTATCACCTTCATACTACCTTTTTAGTATAGTTAGCCTTGTATGATTTGGTCGGGTGGTGGTAAATCAGCCTGACCACAACAACACAATGTAGTTTGAAGTTCATACTCATAGTAAAAATTCCTTATGGATGAAAAGAGACAGGGATGGCTTGTACTAATCCTTAGAAAACATTATTCCAACCTAAATACTGCACTTCACATTCATATAGATACCCAATAACATTAAAGTATTTCAAATAAATGAGCATATCACATTATCAGACAAATCATTCCACAAGATTCTTACTCTCTATCACTGTAATTATGTTAGTCTGAGCCAAAATAGAAATAATCTTTATCTTAAGTAATTCAGTCTTTGTAGTTTTGACTTTTTTTTTTCAAGATCTTTTGTAGCATTAAAACTTTCTACATTATTATAGCTAGCTAAGTTACATATATATCAATCCCTACTTATCTTTAAAAAACTTTAACATTTTATTATACTTGTTTGTAATATATTATTCAAAGCAATCTAATCCAAAACCTTTAAATTATAAGTAATTCATCGAATAAAATCTATCACCTTATAGTTTGTAAAAACCTAAACTTAACTACAATGTTGTCGTTAGTAGCATAGAATACAGAATCTGCTGTACACAGTTTGTGGTATACAGATATGTACACAACAGTACCTTCCACTCATACATTTAAAGTCAAAAATACAAATAAGCTAAGCAGTAATCTCCATAATTTTTAACACTTTAGATCAACTCTCTCAGCACTAAGGTACTCCTATTACCCATATATTCAAACTTGTCCACCTCTCAAGTAATCTAGCATCCTAAAATCATGAAGCTCCTTTCTCAGTTGTAGTTGAACAACCTTGGCAAATACATAGCCTGGGCTCTCACATCATATGTAACATCTGCAGGCTCATTTTTTAAAGATGCCTTCAATTTCAAATATACATTAGACCAACTAAATTTGAAAGCCTTAATGGCTAGTTTTGATGTTGTGTCACTCTTCACCGAAGTCCCTGCCAATGAAGCTTGTAATATTGCACTTGACCTCTACATTAATGACACCAACAAGTTAATCCACATCCCCAGCACACTTTTTGCTTCTCTCTTAGAATTTACAACTAAAACCAACTTCATTTTCAACAACGAACATTTCCTTCAAATAGATGGTTTAATATGGGCAATCCTGTTTTGCCCATTCTTGCCAATATATTTATGACCCAGACTGAGACACAAGCCATACATTCTGTGCTTCATCCCCCACTATACTGGTAGATATGTCGATGACACTTTTGCTGGTTTCACTTCTACAGAACACACACTAACTTTCTTTGAACACACAAATTCCATTCATTCCAACATCAAATTTACCATAGAACACGAAAACAATAAACAGTTATTTTTTCTTAACCCCAACATTATTAGATTGGACACACAGTTTAAAACCAAAATTCACACACATACCGGCCTCTACATCCCCTGGAATCCACTCATGACACCACACAAAAAGTCAATACACTCAAAAACCTCATAAACACAGCCACAAGACTCTGTGCAACAGACTACATAAACAAATAAATCAACCACATAAAGCATTCCTTCATTCACACCAATAAATTACCACCAGCTATTGTTGAAAAACTCTCCAACATTCCCCACAACAAAACTCAACTCACAAACAAAATTGATACCAACAAACCCAACAACAGTACATTACACTGCAGTTTACCTTTTGTCCCGGAAACCATCTCCAGAATTATCCACACTTGGACAAAACTAGCCATTAAACACAATATTCCTGTCAACGTCAAATTTTCTCCAAAATCCAGCCCTAAATTAAAATTGTTACTAAACAAAAATTATTTAGAATCACACAATACCAATGTCATTTACAAAATAACATGCAATAACTGCCCAGAATTCTACATCGGAGAAACAAGAAGAAAATTGTAAAACAGATTG